GAATATTTTGTAGTGTATCATCTATAGGAAATTACATTGTTTTATTTTAGTACTAGTGTAGTCTAGTACAACAAAATTAGTATTTATATATGCGAACAGTTAATGTTCAATTGGAACTTGGATATATAATAGTGACATCCTTGAAGGGAAGATAAAACTACTAGGATGAAGATATGTAAATTTATTAAGATTAAATTGTGAAGAGTCTTGAATTCATGACATGAGGGTCAGCTGAAGGATTTGGTATTGTTTGACTTGGAGAAAAGAAAGGTTGTGATAGAAGGCATTAGCTTTGTTCTTTTTAGCCCCAGACAGCAGAGACAGGAATGATGGGTGGAAATTTCAAAGAGACACATTTAGGCTAGATGTCAGGAAAAACTTTCTAACAGTTAGAGCTGCCCCTAAATGGAATGACTTTCCTCAAGATGTGTGGATTTCCCCTGCTTGGAGGTTTGCAAGTAGAAACTGGGCTGCCACCTACTGAATTATGTCATAGTTAGAATTCCTTCACATATGGCTTTGGATAGACAGCCACTGAAGGCCCTTCCAAACTCTCAAATTCTTTGCTTCTTTGATGCTTTTGCTATGGATTTAGATTCTCATATTAAGAAGTACTACTTTAGAATTTATAAAGGAAAATGTAACATTGAAGCATGTTAAATACAGAAGTGTTTATGTGTAGATACTAGCAGTTAAGAAAGCTAAAAACCGTATATATTTGTGCCTTCACTGTCCACTTTTTTAAAAAAAAGTTTCACAAACATGTCTTTTATTTAATTTATTTATTTATTTATTTGTTTTAGGCAACTAGGGTTAAGTGACTTGCCCAGGGTCACACAGCTAGTAAGTATCAAGTGTTTGGTCTGAGGTCAAATTTGAACTCAGGTCCTCTTGACGTCAGGGCCAGTGCTCTATCCACTACACCACCTAACTGCCCCTAAACATGTCTTTTATAATCAAGAATATGCACACACACACACACACACACACACACACACGTATATATATAAAATCTGAATTTTTAAATATTATTTGAGTTGCTTAGAAGCCAAAGTAGCTTATTTTATCTTATGACCAAAATTTTTTTCACCATGTAAGGATAAACATTTTGAATATTTTGTTGTTTTTCAGTCATTTTTCAATTGTGTTGGACTCTTCATGATCCCATTTTGGGGTTTTCTTGGCAAAGATACTGGAGTGGTTTGCCATTTCCTTCTCCAGCTCAAAGTAAGGCAAACAGGGCTAAGTGATGTGCCCAAGGTCACACAGCTAAGTTGTGAGTGTCTGAGGCCAGATTTGAACTCATGAAAATGAGTCTTCTTGATTCTAGGTATGGCATGTCGCCTATCTGCCCTAGCTGATAGCTTATGAACAAGTTCAAGAAAAATTTATTCATTGTAGTGTTAAAAAAAATAGCTGTGCTTACCAAAATATCAGAATTAATAGTACTAATGGTTTTGAATAACTCTTCAGGTTTCATCATTTGGGGATAAGACAAATCAACTTTTTTGTAGATTTCCTCCATCTATAAGTGGTCTGTTTTCCACATATAGACCAAAGTATACACAGTCACATACAAAAATGCTTACATACTTACACATGCATATATGGAAAACCACACATTTATTCACTTTTTCGTCCTTTATATATTTGCTATATATTTTATAGATACACACACATTTTTTGTCTTTCGTCATCTTTTAGACCATAAGCTTCTTGAAAGTAGAGACTTTCATTATGTCTAGGTACAATATTTTACAAATAATAGATGCTCAATATGTATTTTAGATGGTATTTATAATCTGCCACAAGGAGAAAGGAACTTTTAAATCTTTTGGCATTTTGTTTTTCAATCTTTTGGTATTCTGAAACCACACAGATATTCTTATTTCTCATCAAGGTACCTTTTTGGAATTCTCTCCTTACAAATTCTTAAGAGCTAGACATGGTAGTGCATTGCCCCTAATCCCTACTACTGAACAAACTGAGACCGGCAAATGTCTCGATCTCAGGAGTTCTGAGCTGCAGTGGACTAAGCCAATCAAGTGTCTATCCTCTTTGTCACTAATGTGTTGCTTTTGTGAATGAGAGGCCACCAAGGCTGCCTACAGAGAAGTGAACTGACCCAGAAAAAATAATGAAGTAAATCAAAAACTCCCATTGATCAGTAGTGGGATCAGGCCCCTGAGCAGCCACTATATTTTGAGCCTAGATGATATAGAAAGACTCGATCTATAAGAGAGAGAGGAAAGGAGAAGAAAGGAGAGGAGAGCAAAAAAGGAATTTGAATAATTCTTTCCACAATTCACATTAAAATTAGCTGATTCCCTGGTGAAAGGACTATTGATTTCTCCCCATTCTGTTCCTCACGTATTACAACAAAACATTCTTCAACCAATCCCCGAATCTTTAATCTGCTACTAAATGTCATGCCCTTAAATTCCCACCCATAATCCTAGAATAACAGAAGTGCTAAGTGAGTATATTTTAATTTTGTTATATCTGTTCTTTGCAGGAAACACCAGTGGGATTTTCTTGGGATCTTAGGACCTCTGTTCACTATGCCAAAATAATGATTATAATAACATTAATAATGATGATAAACATTTATCTATACTTTCATGTATTTGATTTTTCAGAATTCTATGAACTAGTTGCTATTATTTCCCCATTTTATACATAAGGAAACTGAAACTGAGAAAAGTTAAACTGGCTAGGGTCACATAGCTGGTGTCTGAGGCAGGATTCAAATATAGGTCTTCCTGCTTCCAATTCCAGTACTCTATTCATTGCGCTGTATAGCCTTTCATTTGTGGTATGGAGTAAATCAAATTTATAGCATCAAACTATACTACATGGAAAAATTAAGAATTTCAGATACCATGTAGTTGCTCTACTACCAACATCAATTCATTTTTTTATATTTTAAAAATATTTCAAATATAAAATATTATACATCTCCCCTGTGAGAGGCAATGTATCATGATTGATAGAGAACTCTCTTTACATTTCCATGTCCTGTGTGACCCTGAGCAAATCATTTAAGTTCTTAGTGCCCCTAAGAAACTCTCTAGTACCATAAATTGTAGAATGGTTGCTTTTGGAGAAGGCATTTCAAATTATGCTTCTCTCCCCCAAATCTCCCTATTAGATCATAGACTCCTTGAGAGCAGAAACTTTTTTTTTTAATCTATGTAGACTACATAACACTGAGCACGATGAATATTTGTTGAAACAAGTAAAATTATTCTCATTTTTTTGTCCTTAGCAACCTGAGGATTATTTCATAACCTCTTTTTTTAGTAAAAGTTTGTTCTAGAGCAGGTATTCTTAATTCTTTTTGTGTCATGGCCCCTTTGGCAGTCTGATGAAGGCTATGGACCCCTTCTCAGAATAAAGCTTTTAAATGTGTGAAATAAAATACATAGAATTACAAAGGAAACCAATTATATTGAAATACATTGATCAAAGTGTAAAAAAAATAGCAACCAAATTCATAGACCTAGGTTCAGATTCCTTGTTTTAGAAGCACCCTGAGTTACTTTTATTGGTTGGATTTAATTTTTATATTACTCTTCAATATTTATTCTTCAATATTTATTCATGAAAGTTCTTATATTTCTATATCTGTGACTCCAGTTGTCCTGTTACTCATTAGTCTACTTAATAATCTTTCATGCTATTTCTCTTTATTAAAAAACAATATTCCCCCCATTTTGCCACTGTATTTTTCTTATCCTGTCTATGAAGAATACAGAGATTCTTTGTACTGTTTCTTTTCTTAAATAGTAGATTTTTCATATCTTAGAAATGATTTCCATGTGAATTATATCCCAATGCACTTTTTTAAAGTAAAATAACTTAGGTAAGAAATAGGGGGGAGGTGAGTAGTAGAAAAGCACTAGATTTTTAATTTAGTTAAATGTGGGTCTATCATAGTTGGAGGTGATTTAAGAAACATGAATAAAAGATTTTTAATGAGATTTGAAAATAGAATATTCTAACTTCCTTCTTCCTAATCTTCTCCTGAAGATCTGATTCTGCTTGGAATCAGATGATAGAGGATGCTGGTTTATGGAGTACCTACTAGGCACAACTGTTCTTTGGTTCCTTTCCAGGGTGCTTAGCCCTGTATTTGTCTCCAGCGTCTGAGCTGTATTTCATGAGCAGCTGTGGTAGGCTGTGGGGAAAGCATTTTAACATTCAGAGGGGACTACATTTCTCTTAATTGCTGTATTCTAGGTTAGAAGGAATAATTTTAGACACTGGAGTTGATCAGTATCTCACATACTACTGTAAAATAATCTTTCCATTAAAATCAGTCCATCATTTGACTTCAAAGTAAACCTGGAGTTCCTATCAAGGGCATCCCAATGTGAGCATGCGTAGGGTAGACTACCACGTAGTCCTTGAAGCAGGGTCCTGGTGGAGACCACAAGGTCGCCTCCCAGGTCCTATCCTTTATCCTATTTTGTGTTTCTTAGGTTAGGGCTTGTAAAACATAAGCTCTTGTTTTCTTCAGTATCAATGGTTGTAAACCTCAGATCTCAACTAAGAATTGTGCTTCAGAAGGGTTCTATAAATGTCCTTCGTTAAAAATTTCCACCCTAGGAAGTGACTAGATACCGTAATCCCTGAAGAACAAATTTGAAAAATTTGTTCTTTTTTGTTTTTTGCTTGATTTGTAATATTTGTTCATATTAAATAGTTAAAAGCAACAAGCATTTAAGTATCTCTGTGCAAGGCTCTGTGTTAGGCATGCGAAGTAAAAAATAAAAATTGTTCCTGCCCTCAAAGAATTTATGTTCAACTGGGAGAATATAATTTGTATATAAGTAAGTAGATATATAATAATACTTCAAAGTTAGCAGAGTAGATTGTTTTTCTTCCTTGGTAAGATGCTTGAATAAATAGTTATTTAAATTTTTATGTTTTATAAGAGGGTTTGATTCTGCTTATAACAGGATTGTTTGGATTTCAAAGTTGTTCTTTTATTTTAGGATCTATTGTATTATGAACAGCTCAAATCTAATGTGATTCAGCATGACCTTTTAGTGGATAGCCTCATTTATAAGGTAAGTAAATGTAGTAGTGAGTAATTTTATTTCTTATTTCATTAGTACCATTAAATATTTATTATTGAAGATTCACAGAACATATGACCTATACTAGCATGCTATGAGTTAGATCAATCTTATAAAACCTTTTGAAAAATCGTTAAAGTTTTGGTTGGCTTGCCCTGAAAAATATACATATGTTCCATTGTTTACCAGCACATCCATTCCATTTGAAACTATCACTTCTTCCTACTGGTCTCTCTATAGCATCAAGTTTAGAGAATGATAATAAATATTTGACATTGCAAGTTCATTTAGGAATTATCTACTAATGCAAACAACAAAAAAGGAAAAAGAATTGCAGAATATCAGTGTTGGAAGATAGTTTAGAAGCTGTGGAGTCTATCCCATACATGAATAAAAATATCACCTGTCATATACTTGACAAATGAACCTTGAAGAGGTCCAGGGTTAGAGAATCCTTCACCTTCCAGCCTGTTCCACTTTTGTGCAAACCTTGTTTGGCAGTATTTCTTTACATCAATTTTAAATCATCTTTTTGTAACTTTCACGTATGGCTCCTAGTTTCCTCCTGTGAGGTCAGGCAGGATTAGTGTAATCTATCTTCCCACATGACAGACCTTCAAATACTTGGGAAAAACTATCAAGTCTCCCTAGTTGTTCTCTTCTGCAGAATAAATGAACACCCCACATATGCTATAACTTCAGCACCCTTCACAGTTCTGTTCACTGTCCACTGGTTTACAGTGAACAGTAAACTTTTCCTTATCTACCCTAGTGCCTTTTTTATTTCACTACTTTGTAAATATTTATATATTCACTTTCTCTGTATGCTATATCAGTATCTGTATAACTCTCCCATTAGAATCTAAACTACTTGGGAGTGGGGATTGTTTCATTCTTTGTACTTGTATTCCCAGCACCTGGCATAATTCTTAGTACATAGTAGACACTTAATAAATGCTTACTTGCTCTATCAATTAGAACCTCTCCTGCTTATCAACACCCTTCCTAAAAAGCAGTGCCCAAACTAAACATAATACTCCAGATATGATCTAACCGGAGAAGACCCTCATGGCTATTAACTCCCAAGTCATAAATATTACTTCTTTTAGTGCAAATTGAAATTGCTTTAGATTTTTGGGGAGCCATGTAACTGTTGAATCATTCTGTGCTTTCAGCTCACAAAAAACCATCTATGTTTTCATTCAAGTTATTGTTGAAATTGTTAAACAGCGAAGGGACCAATAACAGTCAGAATATTGCATTTACTTTATGTTTGCCACCTGATTTTTATTGGAACTACTTTTTATTCTCTTTGAATAAAGCAGTTTTTAATTTAAATTTTTTTTCTTCCAACTACTACTTAAATTTTGTGGCTAGGAAATACTGATTCTCTGTCTACAAAGAGTTTTCTATCTAATGGGAAGATGAGATTCAAAGATACAATTGCAACCAGCTGGGCATATTAACATGTACTCATATATTGAAAGAAAGGTAAATTATAGACTTTTGGGGTATTATGGTCTGTGGTTCATTCTGGATAAACTAAAAGAAATGATTTTTCTATGAGGCTGGATGATTAAAATAGTGGTAGCAAATCACATTTGTACAGCACTTTTAGGTTTGCAAAGTACCTCCTTCATAACAGCCTTGGGAGATAGGTAATGCAAGTAGTAGTAGTCAGTAGTAGTAGTAGTAGCAGCAGCAGCAGCAGCAGCAGCAGCAGCAATTCTTCATAAATACTGAGAAAACCAAGACTCAGAGGCTACATGAGTTGTCCATGGTCCCAGTAGGTGTCTGAAGAAGTGTTTGCAACCAGGTATCCACTGAGTGTCATTGCTTCTCATGAAATCCTTGATCATCTCCTCTTGTCGTATTCACAAAGTGCATAAGGAAAAAAGACATCTATGGAGACTTTAAGTATAGACTTGATAGATCCTGGGCATAGCAAACATTAGTCTAAATGGAATTGACTTTTTCTTAAAAGATAGGAAACAACTAGTTATTTTGAAAGGACTCCTGTCCAGATAAGCTGTGTGCTGTCAGGCATTGACTTCTTTGAGCAAAAATCAGTATCAATTCCTAATTAGAAGAAAAGATAAAGATGAGAAGATGCAGCATACAATTACAACTCTAATCTAACCTAACTAAACATGCTATGGGTTTGGAAAAAAATAGGAAATAGAAAGAAAAATGGAAATGGAAAAAAATATGAAATGGAAAGAAAAAAAAGGAAAAATACTGTGGTGACCATCACTATTTTTTACTGATTTCACATCTGTAAAATAAGGATAACAATAGTATCTACATTCCAGGATAAAATGAACTATTTATAAAGTGCTTTGCAAACTCTTAAATGTTAAGAGGCATTCAGGACAATACCTAGATTACAGTCCTAGGTTACTGGGAGATAGTGATATTTCACGAGCTCCCTCCAGGATGTAAACTTGATTCCATCTTTCTTTTAAAAAGCGTCACATATCTACTACCACAATTTGAGCACAACAATGACAAATAGCCGATTGTATTTTTATTTTTTTTATTCAAAGAATTCATACCTGGTATGACTTTTAAAAAATTTCCCAAAAACTCCAATATATTGGCTAAGAAGCAAAAACCTTATGCCAACAAGTCACAAGCATTACAGAACAACACAATTGATTTGATAATTATTGAGCACTCACAGTGTGTCAGGCATCATAGTAAGTGCTTTACAGATATCTGATTTGCTCTATAGAAATCGTGATGCTTGCTTAACAAAAAGGATGTAGGAAATTGATAGACATTCTTAGAACATATCACAAATAGGTAAAAAAAACATACAGAAATAGGTTGAAACAAGCAAGCACTTCGTCAAGCAGTAGAAAAGGCTTTTTAAAAGTATATACCTTTGGATATATCAGAAGTAACCAAAAGTGGATGACTTCTGAATGGATCCTATGAAGTGTCAAAGATCCAAGAATGGAATCAAAAGGCCCTCCATGAATAACATCCACATGAACTCAGCTAACAATATGCTGACAAGTAAGCACCAAACAATTGTTTGAGTCATGTGGATTTGTGGGATAGCAATTTAGGACCAGATCATTGCTACCAAAAACTACAGAAGCACTATCTTTAAGGAGCCTAGAATTAGTAGGGATCAATGCCATGGAAATGTTTAAAACTGTGTAACATGTCACTTTAGGCTGTAAACATTTAGTGGCTTACTGAATGTCAAGATCTGCCTGTTGACTAGAATTATGCATCAGAAGTTCTCTCTCTTTCATGGACTGAGAGATGACAAATTTCCATACTACAAATAGACCTCATAAAATCAAGCTGGAAAACTCAGTCCATCTTTACAAACAGGATATTGCCTACAATTGTCCAAACATAACACTGATTAAAAAAAATTAAGAACATTTTTAATATATATTGCCAAATCAAATACTTATAATCTCCAGGCAACATGATACAAAAATCTTTCATAATACACAGACCTAGCAGAAGAGATCAAAACCATATAGAAACAGGATGAGATAGATATCGTCCCTTTTGTCTTTATCTGGATGTTTTCAATAGCCTGCTTATATGAGCTTATATCCTAATATTTTTCTTCAACTACAAAAAGTTATTTTATTTGCCTATTTAATGGTCTCAAAATATTTCTATCAAACCTTATAAAAATGAGAAAGATATAATATTAATAATTGAAATTTATATAGTATTTTAAGATTTGCAAAGCACTTTTTCATTATCTCATTTGAGCTGCACAATGATCTTATGACACAAGTATTAAAGATAAATGTGTGTATAGTGTTTAAGTACCCCACTATGTGCCGGGTGTTGAGAAGAGTGAGTACCTGACTAATATGTCTGGATCTGTGATTTAGTTTGTATGGAGAACTGTCAGAAAGGCAACCCCCTCTAACTTTGCAGATTAGTAACTGCTCTGCTCAATTTATAGGCTTAGAGAATTATCATTGAAAAGTTAAGTGACATGCCCAGTGTCATATAGCCAACATGTATCAAAGACTGGATTTGAATCCACATCTTTCCAACTCTTAAGTACAGCTCTCAGTCAGTCATCGTGAGATACTGGTGATACAAATACAATGAACGAAATAATGCCTGCCCAGAAATAACTCACAACCTAATAGAGCTGATAAATAGGTGTATAAGTAGATACGGAATATCTATAAAAAGAATACAAATAAATACAGAATAGCCACTATACCATATTGTTTCTCTCTACAAAAATTATTTTCCTGATTTTAGATAAAGAAACATGTTGAGAGATTAAATGAATGGTCCATTGTCAGTGAGTAAATCTTAGATTCAAGAAAACTATCTCAACCTGCAAGTGCTTGATATTTTTGCTAGGTAGAGAGACATGGCAGCTAAGGACAACATCAGTTTAGAACATAAACATATTCATGACATCTTTTGAAGGAGTATAGTTTATGTATAGATTATGTATAGAAGGAATATAGATTATGTGCACTATCACTTATGAGGCATCAAGAAGCATCATAGATAAAAATTAGATATCAGAAAAATTGTCATAACATACAATTAAACCATTCCATGCAAAGAACATTTGAAGATGAAATTGGGAGAAAGACAACAAATAAATGAGAAATGGAACATATCTGTTTGCTTTGTTATAGTAAACTATTTTCTTCATCAGTGACATAGGAACTACCACATTTGTACTCTCCATCTGTCTGACTTGATAAGTGATGTATTAGCAATGACTCTAAATAAGATAAAAACAGAAAGACTGACTGAACCAATATATACACAGAAGAAATACATGCTGATGGCAACAGTTTTGAGGCTATTGAGGGACTAGTTCCAAATGATTAGGGGTACTCAATGATTAGAAAAAAAATCATAGACTATATTACTACTGAAAGAAAGGTGATTAAGAGAACATCAATAACTACCAACTCATATGCCCACTGTCTCATCTCTATAGGATGTTTGTGAGAATGATCTTCACATGTAGATCACATTGAGGGATATCCTTGATGAAAACATGAGAAGGAAATGATCAAGTTTTTACAATGACCATCTCTTTAGAGTAATGCAAGTGACAAAATTTCAGAACATAGAAGATCTCACTTTGTTGAGCATTAAAAAATAATTTAATTCATTAGAAAAAAATTCAGCATTAAACATTATCTTCCATTAAGTTGTTTTCCATGAATATGTTAGTATGGCTATATATCAAACTGAATTCCTCAATAGGTAAAACCATAGGGATAACTTTGTTGTTCCTCTGATTCCAGGGCAATATAATCAAGTATCTTCTGATATTTATTTGATCTTCAATATTGAACATGACGTTAGACAGAGACCATACTTAATAAAGGTGTTTGCCATTACTATGAAAGATGTTCCATGGCCAGGTGGAAGAGAAATCCCATATTATCATGTTTGAAATCAATCAAAATCTAAGGCAATAAAATCCATTCCTATCAATTTATTAGCAAGGCTAGCAATTGCCAGTAAATGAGATCTAAGGCTCCTCAGAAACCAAGGATGCTGAATGGTGACTAACAAAGCTTATAGTCAGTAAGGAGGAACATAAAAGAAGAACAAAAATTTAAAAGTCATGGGCATTGTCAATTTCTGATTGGTCTTGGTTGAAAATAGGGAACTGATAGTCAGAAATTAAGGAACTAATCTGTTTATACAATCTTAAGCAACAGACATTCTTTTCATTTATTGGCTGAGATGTTATGAAGCATCTGATTAATGGAATATTTTACATCAGCAAGTTATGACATCTATCTTACGTAAATTTTTCTGAAACATGAGTAAAGCTTCTGACAGGAATGGGGAATTACATCTCATACTGTGGAATAGAAACTAAATTGATTAGGCCTTCAAGTACATTTATCAGTATTTGTTTTCACTATTCACAGTACAGATGATGAAGTCTTCCATTTCCTCTTAATTTTAGGTGGCATCATGTTGTTTGCATCAGGCCCTAGAATACTACAGAACTTCTTAAGTAAGATCTACAACCACTCTAAACTTTTCATTCTATAAAGAAGAATGCTTGTAATCTAAATTATCGTATGCTAGTTGGATGGACAGCTGATTAAACTATTTCACGTGTACTGGACAGACATTGCTGAACTAAAAGAGGAATTGTTCTACCTAGTTCAAGAAGGCGGAACTAGATAGAAATTAACAAGATAGTTTTGCCTTAACATAAGAAAAAACTTTGACAATCAGACCTTTTCATAAGGGGAATGGGCTGCCTTAGGTTCCCCTTTATTTAAGGTCTCCAAAAATTGGCTTGTTGGGGATATTGTAGAGGAGATCAAAGTACAAATTGATTATTCCAGACGACCCTGAGATTTTGCGATTCTGAGTAATTTTGTGTGTCTATAAAAAATGCTGAAGGTAAGTGAAATTTTCATAATATTTAAATATATTTATGTACTGTTATGAGAGGCAGTCTTTGCACAGCAGATGGAGAGCCTACTTCAGATTCTAGAATACTTGGATTCCAATTTTATCTTCTATGCCCCATTACTGTGTGACTTGGGCATTTTACTTTTCAACAAATTGTAGAGAAGATGCTTTCCTGCATGGCCAGTAACTCATTAGCAATTTTTTAAATGAATGAAATCATAGATACTATTCATATATATGTATATATATATATATATATGTATATATATATGTATATATACACACATACATCCATACATCCATATAAAGAGAGAGAGTAGTGGTGATGCTTTAATAGTGTGATTTTCCTTTTCAGAAAAATAAATGGTCTATGACCTTTTCAGTACATTCTGTCTTTAATTCTAGGATGTGAAGCTGACAGCCAGCAATGATGATTACTATTTTGTATTTGAAGATTATTTGTATCAGGTAAGTTAGAAAGAATCAATGCTTTCTTTTTCAAGGTGCAATTAGTAGTTAAATTGTGCCACTTTAAGAGATATTTATCATTAAAATTTCTCAGTGCTAAAATCCAAACCTTGCTTTTTAATGATCAAATAAAATGTTATCAATTTGGAACAAGTTTAACTTTTTGCCCATAGTAAGGGACCAGTTGGAAGAAAAAAGTCTCCAAACAAGTGTATTTTTGATGATTTTTTTTGTATTACAAAATACAACTTGGAGATAGAAACTGGCAGCATGTTAATCATTATTATAGGTACAAGTGATTAAAATGAATGTCAGAGTTCAGAGGGAACATTTATTTCATGACTAGAAGAACCTCTTCAAAGAAATCATTGCTTTATGAAACTACCTTACTGAGTAATAGAACAAATAGCTAAATGTCCTTAAATGCTTGCAAAACACCATTCCCACTTGATTATGCAAGCAATGATATTGTAACTGGTTATCTCTAGGTCATTTCCATCTTTGCTGAAATGTCATTTTATCATAAATGAGAAACTAATTTTATGTGGAATTACCTAGATTATGGGTTGGTTTTTTTCTTTCAAAGTAGAAGTGGATTACACATGAAAATTTACTAAATTGAATTTGATTGGGATGTCAGCATAAATGTCATGGAAGTAATGTAGAATACACGTAGCAATTTTTGCGTGATTAGATGTAAATTAGTTACAGCTTGGGGTGGCTTTGAGTTTTTTTTTTTTTTAAGATAGAAGAAGATGATGCTTAATCTGAATAGTTCAGAAAGATGTAATTACTAGTACACTACAGGAGTTGAAATTTGAAAAGTAAATATTATTTGCAGGTATAAAGCAAAAAAACCTTGGAAACAATTTTTATTTAATTAAGATGTGACTGCATAAGATTGAATGCCTTTTAAAACCTCAGAAAGAAATAAAAATCTTTTGTTTCTGCTTATTTTCTCATAAAATTTTAATATAAAATCAATGCTTTTTCTTTATAACTGGTTGTAATCTCTCAGGTCTGAAAACAATTACCCTTTTCTTTGTGTCATCAGATATCAGAAGTAAAGAAGCCATTTACTTCATGAGATAAAGGGAAAATAAATGAGTTTCCATGGCTATATTGATAACAGATAAATAGCAGTTAAGAAAAAAAAACACTCTTAAAGTTAATATTTCTTCTTTCCCAATAATTATCAGTTACCAGGCTTATGTTTTTGAAATATTTACAATTTCTCAAATAGAAAAAGCTATTTTCTAATGACAACTTAATTTCACCTGTGCTTCACAGCATTTATGGCTGTGCTCCTTTGCACTTCATTCCTGTGACCAAAAAATGTCTTAGCACTAGTGATCACTCATCATAGGATCCTACTTGTTTTTTTTTTAACTTGTTCATGTCTACTATTTTATTTTTTGAATTAATTTATTTTTAGTTTTCAGCAGTCACTTCCATAAGCTTTTCAGTTTTTAATTTTCTCCCTCTCTCTTCCCACCTCCCTCCCCAAGACAGTGTGTAATCTGATATAGGCTCTAAATATACATTCCTATTAAGCATATTTTCATATTAGTGATGTTGTAAGGAAGAATTAGAACCAATAGGAGGAGCCACAAGAAAGAGAAAACAAAACAAAACAGAAGAAAAAAAATAGTAAATAGTATGCTTCAATCTGTTTTCAAACTCCATAGTTCTTTCTTTGGATGTGGATAGCATTTTCCATCATGAGACCTTTGGAGATGTCTTAGATCCTTGCATTACTGAGAAGGACTAAGTGTATCAATGTGAGCATTGCACAATGTGGCTGTTACTGTGTACAGCGTTGTCCTGGTTCTGCTCACTTCAATCAGCATCAGTCCATACAAGTCTTTCCATGTTTTTCTGAAGTCTGCCTGCTTATCATTTCTTATAGCACAATAGTATTCCATTGCATTCATATACCACAACTTGTTCAGCCATTCCCCAATTGATGGGCATTCCCTCAATTTCCAATTCTTTGCCACCACAAAAAGAGCTGCTATAAATATTTTTGTACATGTGGGTCCTTTTCCCATTTTTGTGATCTCTTTGGGGTACAGCCCTAGAAGTGCTATTGCTGAGTCAAAGGGTATGCACATTTTTTATAGTCCTTTGGACATAGTTCCAAATTGCTCTCCAAAATGGTTGGATCATTTCACAACTCCACCAACAATGCATTAGTGTTCCAATTTTCCCACATCTTCTCCGACATTTATCATTTTCCTGTTTTGTCATGTTAGCCAATCTGATAGGTGTGATGTGGTACCTCAGAGTTGTTTTGATTTGCATTTCTCTAATCAATAGTGATTTAGAGCATTTTTTCATATGACTATAGATGGCTTTAATTTCTTTATCTGAGAACTGCCTGTTCATATCCTTTGACCATTTATCAATTGGGGAATGACTTGTATTCTTATAAATTTGATTTAATTCTCTATATATTTTAGAAATGAAGCCTTTTTCAGAGACACTGTTTGTACAAATTCTTTCCCAATTTTCTACTTTCCTTCTAATCTTGGTTGCATTGGCTTTGTTTTTGCAAAAACTTTTCAATTTAATGTAATCGAAATTATCCATTTTGTATTTCATAATGTTCTCTATCTCCCGTTTGGTCATGAGTTCTTCTGTTCTCCATAAATCTGATAGGTGAACTATTCCTTGCTCTCCCAGTTTGCTTATAATATCACCCTTTATATCTAAATCATGAACCCATTTTGACTTTATTTAAGAACTACCTCATTTGTACTCTCCATCTGTCTGACTTGATAAGTGATGTATTAGAAATGACTCTAAATAAGATAAAAACAGAAAGACTGGCTGAACCAAGTATATACACAGAAGAAATACCTGCTGATGGCAAAAGTTTTGAGGTTATTGAGGGACTGGTTCCAAATGATTCGGGGTACCCAATGATTAGAAAAAAAAAGATAGACTATATTACTACTGAAAGAAAGGCGATTAAGAGAACATCAATAACTACCAGTTTGGGTATATGGTGTGAGATTTTGGTCTATGCCTAGTTTCTACCATACCCTTTTCCAGTTTTCCCAGCAGTTTTTGTCAAATAGTGAGTTCTTATCTCAGAAGCTGGGGTCTTTGGGTTTATCAAATAGTAGATTACTATAGTGATTGGCTACTGTGTCTTGCATACCTAACCTATTTCACTGATCCACCACTCTATTTCTTAGCCAGTACCAAGTAGTTTTGATGTTTGCTACTTTATAATACAATTTAAGATCTGGAACAGCTAGGCTACCTTCCCCTGCATTTCTTTTCATTAGTTCCGTTGATATTCTGGACCTTTTGTTATTCCAAATGAATCTTATTATTATTTTTCTAGCTCTGTAAAATGATTTTTTGGTAGTTTGATTGGTGTGGCACTGAATAAGTAAATTGGTTTAGGTAGAATTGAGGATCCTACTTCTTAGCTGCTTTTGTTTGTCTACTGCTTCATATGTGTATTTTATTTCTTCTGATTTTATCCCTTTAGAACAAGAATAAATTTCTGCTGAAGATATTATACAGAGGAAATTTTCCTGAATTTGTACTTTGTACACTTTTCTGATGTAGCTAATATTTGTCAACAATTCACATGATGTGAGATCATACAATAGTACCTTAGCTACTTTGCGTGGTGGAGTTTTCTGTGGACACTCTTTCCCATTTCCATGCATTTGCTTGTATGATTCTACCTGATGATAATCTTGCCCATTCATCAAGGCCCAGCTCAGATGCCATCTCCTACATGAAACTTCTAATTTTCCCCTAGCTAGAAGTGATCACTCTATCATCACAGTCACTGTGCTTTTTATCCTATCATATTATAATTTGTGTACATAGTCTTTTATTTGTATACACAATCTTTTATTTCCTAATAGACCATAGGCTTCTTTGTCCCTTCCCCCAAGATCTAAAGTACAGTGCACCACTGGTAGTAGGCACATGATAAATGTTTACTAACTAAATGAACCAAGAACCAGCCTGTTTGTGCATGCAAGTTGCAAAAAATCAACAAGGCCAAAGTGGATTTCATAACAATTTTTATATGTTTATAAGATAATTATGTTTCCCTCATAAAAGATCTATATACACCATCTCTAGAGCAAAATGGTTTTTTTCCCTTCAATTAACAAGGAAAAGATAGAATTACGCGAACATCTTTTCCTATAGCGTTGAGGGTAAGATTAACACTTTATGTGATAATGTTTGGTGGCATTTATCTTTTAGTTAATATCAAGGTAGTTGCAATTTTTTTTTATCTAAAGGAAGTACATTAGGCTTATTTTTTTGATTGTATAATTTAATCTTTGCTGGCTTTAGTTCTCAATGCTTGCAAATTCTGTCCTTGAAAATAGAATAACTGATAACTGCTGATTTACAGTGGTTTTATTATAATTTTACTGGGTACCATTTGTCTCTATGAAAGGTTATTTCTAAATATGGTAGGGTGTTTTATAAGTTGAATATTAATAAAAATAAACTAATGTGACATGTCATATAAAATTAACATGTAATATAGCTTCAAAAATCTACTATTTAATGAAAATTAATCAACGTGAAATATTTTCTTGTGCCAACATTAGTAATAGTATTTTGGTAATGGAAAATTCTTTGACATCAAACATATTATCTCCCCCAATAGAAGCTCCTCAAGGGCAGGGACTGTTTGGTTTTTATCATTGTATCTCCAGAGTCCAACATAGTACCTAGGCACGTTGTAAACTTTTATCAAATACTTGTTAATTGATAAATGAGTCAATTTTAAAAAATTTAAATGTTGTCCAGTGAGCAGTAATGGCATATTTTACTGTCCCCAGCTCAGCTTCTTCATTGAAGTCGACGAACTCTTTCCCTTTAGGTCTGGAAGCACCAGGATTATCAAGTTCATATTATTTTAATTAAGACAATATTTATTAAACACCTATTGTTTATAAAGCACTATGTTAAGCTATGCAGCATACTAAGATAAATAAGAGGATTCTTCC